ATGAGCCAAAAAGCAGAGACAGGACCAATTGTCAAAATTTTGGTGTCGATCATTCGATTTCATCCTGGACACTAAAGAAAATGGGCTAAAAGTGTTAAAAACCGGAATTCTCCTTTAATTGATTTTGGCCTCCTACAGGCAAGGAGGATGATTGCTCTGTCCTGGAGGAAAATGGGTGTGCCCTCGATAAATGAGTGGATAAAGGAGATGACATCTTGTGTGATGCTGGAAAGGCTGACTTATATCACCAGGGGAAAGGCTACAGAGTTTGAGGCTGTGTGGAATCCCTTAATAGAGTTTCTTGAACGTCAAAGAGCTCAAATAACTTAAATCTGCTGCATTGATATATGTTGTTGAGTGTGTTTTGTTTTGTTTAGTTTTATTTAATGTTGTTAAATGTGTGAAGTATGTGAAATGTTTTGTGGAAATTCTAACTGTTCACTTTTTGGATGCTATTGTTTTGATAACCGTCTTTTTGTACAAGTGAAATATATGTATAAAACTTAATAAAGATATTGTTGAAAAAAAAAACTAGTAATATTTGGAATATTGAGCCCAAAAAACATGAAAATTTACTTTTTTCTGCAATTCACTAAATCCCCTTCTGTCCCATCTATGTGCATATAATACAAAATAAGTAAAGAAAATAATCAAGTTTCAAAGTTTAATGAGATATTAAATAAATGTCTGATAATATAATAGATTTATTTTAATTGCCTTATTTTGAAAGATGTGTTTTGTTTCTTCCTTTAAGCCTCCTTCTATTCTTTGGCCTTTGGAGAAAATGTTTTTGAGGGGGCAGACTCAGTTGTCCTGCCATGCCAGTACTCTGGTCTGTTACTAGAGGAAAACCCCACAGTGACCTGGAGACGCTATGATCTAAAACCACAAACTGTCCACCTGCGGCGAGAGGAAGATGATCTTCATGGACAGAATCAACGTTTCAGTGGGCGAACATCAATGAAACCTGATGCTTTAGACTCTGGTGACTTCAGCCTCAGTCTGAAAAATCCTCACTCCTCTGACAGTGGAACCTACACCTGCAGCATGAACGATGATAGGGAAGAAATACGACTAGCAGATGTTCAACTGGAGGTCAGAGGTAAATAACTAACAAGTTTTAATTTACAGACTGATGGAATGTTATAAAATGCACGCTTGCACTTAATTATTTACACACACAATAAAACATGGAAAGTTATTACCAAAATAGTTATGATATTTTAATACAGTTGGCTTCTTTTAAAACCATTTTATATGCATATATTCAGAAAAAACTAAATAAAATGCTAATTAACTGCCAAAAATGTGAAAATGATTAAATGAAAAGCTACCAGGAACCCATTATCTTTCGGTGCTGTCTTATTCCAGAGCTGCAACCTACCTGGAATGCCTAGAAGTACAAGATGTTCAGGGCTAAAGCATATCTGAAGACACATTTTTCAAATGTTGAATGTACCGATGAGATGAAAGGGACTCTCGATGGACCAGATGTGGTCTGTGGATGGATCAATAATGGGCACAGACAGAGCTCCAATTTGCATTAGCTGCCGGCATTGTTTAGGCAGGATGTTGGTATGTGCTGGTATTAAAGAGCAGATAGCTAGACCTTATTGGCTTGAAGATGGACTCAAAATTAAGCCCAAATGCTACTGCCTTTCTTAAGAGGATACTTTCTTCAAGCAGTGGTACAGGAAAAGGCCTGCGTCTTTCCAGAATGACATAATTTTTATACAAAGATCCAGGACATTAACAATAGCAGACTCCATGAATGGAAGGCTGTTGGGAGACTAAGAAGGGTGGCTATATTAGTCACTGATATATGTTTGAAATTATTATCTGTCAATTTTGAGTTGTGTGTTTATTATTCTCATAAACATGAAAAGGACTTCCGTACGACTGACTTCATGAAAATAAACAAGTGAGATGGAAATTTTTTTTAGTTTCGATTAAGTTGCATAATAATTCTGCACAATGATAAGTAGCCAGTAATCACACAGAGATGGATATTATCCTTAGAAAGTAAAAATCTCACATTTAGTTTCTAAACTATTCAGGTTTGACAGGTTATTAACATTTTGGATTGACCAAGAGTGCTTAGGTTATTTATCAAAAAACAACTACAACCTATGTAATAATTGTGTGCACAGTGTAGAGGTTTTAGAGAAATATCTACTGTATTACTCAGGATTTAGGTTCCAATATAATGATTGTGAATATGGCTGTAGACGTCTGTCCCTGAAAAATATCCTTCAGAAAAGTCACATAATGGACAAACTAATAACGCTTTTGCACTAAAACAATCCAAACTTTCGTATTACCTGGTACCATGATAGTATTTTGGAAAGGGCAAAATAATTATTCAATTATTATTGGTGCTCATTGGTAGAAATTCAATTCAATTCAGTTTATTTCTATAGCTCCAATTCACATCATGTCATCTAAGGTCACTTTCCAGTTCACCAGATCATCCAGTCAAATTGATTCAAAGTTTTCTATCTAAGGAAAACCAGCTGATTGCATC